CCCACAGTAACAAACAGAACCCGAGTATAAAACGGTCGACATATTCTCAAGCCTTTTTCGATCAAACATTATTTCAGAAAACGAACCTATTCATTCCTTTGAAATATTGTAGAAAGAATATTGTTGAATATGTTACATAATTCTTTCTAAATCATGCTGACTCGGCTTGATTGAGTCAAACATACGTCGAAAATGGCATCTAGGGATCTGCTGACTCCATGCAGTATGATTCTGAAGACGAAAAGAAAACGAATATATATTCGGATATGAGTAACGCTGTTGTTTGTTTTCAATATATTCCANTTGCCGTGTCTTCGTAGTTTATGTTTCGAAAATTGTCGTATGGTTCAATTCGGAACTCTCAGTGCATATGACAAGAAGATGTTTATCAAACAATTTTACAATAAAACTCAATTTCTCTTTAAATGTGATGATCTATATACGACAGTGTGGATTGACCAAAGTGCATTGAATGAACCTTTTTGGCAGACTTTTTCGAAAACTCGATACCAATGAACCGAACAAAACCCTATCAACGAACCTACATACATCAATCAGACTCAGCAACCAGTTCATGTCGACACCAAGAAAAAGAATTTTATTCAAAAGATGAAAAAAGTATTTCGAAGAGATAACAACTAAATATTTTGAAAACAGTTCATGGAACTGTCAAAATAACAATACATTTTTTGATCAGAACACTTTATGTGACAGAGTTGTTTGTTTTTATTGACATAATTTTATTGAATATAACAACAAATATCGATAGATGGCCATTTGACTATATTAAAAAATGGTGGCCGTGCTCGTAAAGTTGGGTGACGTCACAAAAAAATATTTGGACCCACAGTAACAAACAGAAATTTCCAAGATTAATTTTCCACATTCTTGCTCAACTTAGTGTGAATTGTTATGTTCATCCTCAGACTTTATGTATATCAAATCTTACTCTAGATTTGAACTTGTCCATCGATGCATATACTACTTAATTAGACACGATAGTTTTTTTTTTGTCGAAAGAAGAAAGGAATATTTAACTATCGAATTTTATCGAGTGAATTTGTTTTTAGTAGAATATATTGAAAAAAAAACAACATCGTTACTCATATTCGAATATATATTCGTTTTCTTTTCGTCTTCAGTATCATAGTACATGAAGTCAGCAGATGTCTAGATGCCATTTTCGACGTATGTTTGGCTCAATCAAGCCGAGCCAGAATGATTTAGAAAGAATTATGTAACATATTCAATAATATTGTTTCTACAATATTTCAAAGGAACGAATAGATTCGTTTTCTGAAATAATGTTTGATCGGAAAAGGCTTGAAAATATGTCGACCGTTTTATACTCGAATTCTGTTTGTTTTATTATGAATCAGTGACGATTTTCTCATTGAAGAAAAGAAACTCGTGCAGATGTTATTACATCATGACGCCGCAAAGATTTATTTAATTCGTACTATCATATGATCGAAGTGTGATAGAATTCAACATACGGTTACTTTGCTATGGCAACCTGTTTACTAGACAAGTTTCCAGTCGAGTGTTATTTCTATAATAATCAATTACTGTTTTTACACACTCAATTTCAGATCGATTCGTTGAAATGAATTTGAACTTGTTTGTCAATGAATCGAACCTGATCAAGTCATTTCACTTACATTGTCTGATGTTTCAAATGCAACAGTTTAGTCACCTTCGATTGCTCACTTTGATCGATGTTGGACCTGATTGGTCGGAATCAATTTTGTTCAATTTAATTCGTCTTCAGAATCTTTGTTTCTTCTTCCATAGCACTTCGACTAAAATAGATTCGTGGAATATATCTCTTGATGATTTCAATGCGCATGAAATGCATCAATCTGAAGTAAATACACCGATATTTACTTAACTGAGTGATGTGAGATTAGATCACAGGGATTATTTGAAATTGGCATCACTTTCTCAAATATCTGTCTCATGCTACACCACAACTCAAACTACTCAATACTCGTCTCCAATGTGATTCGAGAACGAAAGCATTTTTTTATTCATTCAATCATCTCATCCCGCTCTTACTATAGAGATTTTGTGTTAGTGTATTCTTGTCTAGTAAATTTGAACGGAAGTTTATCAGACCTAAGAAATATACTAATCTCATTTTTATATTTTCCTTTGTACTGTTGAATAGAAAATTTATCGATAGTTATTTTTCTACTATTCTGTCATCACAATGTTTTTCTTTTTCTTACTTTTATAGGTCGATGGACTACGATAAATGAAATAGAGCAGTTGTTATCACAAATAGCTTGTCTCGAATATTTCGAGTTATACGCTGTCGGTACTGCTGCCTCTATTCATGGGAAACGATTAGAAAAATTCGTAAAACATCTAATTACTTTTAACTTCAAGTTTCGGATGAAAGTGAATCTCGGAGTAGAAGTTCTTGATTCTTTTCATTGTTCATTCTGGCTCTTGAACAAGCACTGGTACTTGGCATGTATTGGCAATTGTCTGTTCTCGATACCTCGTTTTATATTAAAGGAGGCCGACGAAAACGTCAAGCCTCCTATGTATTCTACAGCACCCGACAACAACATGTGTATGATTTTCTGCCGTTCATGAAATCCGAGCATACTTCAACTATTCTTCGATCATTTCTGCTAGAAATCATCGATCATAGTCGAATACAACACTTAATGGCATCATCATCGGTGACCAAGTTTGAAATCACTTCTCGATTTAAAGCGATCTACGAATTTTTCGTGGAAAAGTAAGAAATCAACGCTGCTTTTACATAAGATGGCTTAACTACTTGTCGGGTGCAGAATATCGTCCCTCTTGTAATTTTTTCAATGGCAATAAAATAAAAAGATGGCGCATTAACTTTCTGTCAGCATGTCATACAGTACGTCAACTACAAAATCATATGTTTAATTATCGATTCAGTTCAACCACTGTAAATAAGTGGATTGGAAGATGTGGTAAGCCTTGGAGAAGTGGAGCCGTCAATTGTTCTTCAAGATCTGAAAAAATGCATAACATTGCCTCGTGTTATGAATATTTCAATTGTGTGAACAATAGATTGTCGAGATAGATAAAGAAAAATTCCGTATCTGTACTCACAGCTGAACAAATAATAAATTGTTGATTGAGCCCGTGTGATGAGACTAGGATTGAAGCTGATGATAGTATCGACTAGATATCCTCCTTTACTTTCTCCAACCATTCAACACACAAGGACATCGACGAATAGTCATTCACGTAATTTCTACGATGTATCAGATATACCACTAATTCTTTGTTGTCTATTTAAAAATATCATTGTTTGTCTTAATATTCGAGATGTGTCATTATTTTGACTAAAAAATATGAGCATATTGGAAGACCTCTCTGGATTCACGATATTGATACTGTTAATAGTAACGCCCGAAGCAAAGTCGCATGCGAGTCTCATTGACAAGCGCACGATAATTACTTTTGATAACGCTTTTCTATGCTTTCCAACAATTACAATCAACATGTCACGTGTGATAGATACAACTCAATGAACCATATAAGATCATGGATGACTAACATTTAATTGGTGTCTACTGTGAAGTTAGCAATGACCAAGAAATAGGTCTGAACATATATAAAAAAAGATCTGCTGCTACAAACTTAACAACAATCGCTATTCATCATGTTTCACATGTTCATCTTGAAAAGATCGTGCTAATAGCTTTTCCATTTAAACATCTAACGAACTAAGAAGAGAATCATTAAGTACTAGTCAGTGTGCTAATGGTTACTGTGAAAACAATCGTATAGGCAAATATCTTGTGCCGTGTCATTGCATATATTTATATTCTACATTGAAAAATCTTATGCCATTTGCTACCAGATGATTTTGCTTGGACGTCTATAGTAAGCTTCTATAAACAAACAATCAAGTAATCGAAATTAAATCTTTTAATAATCTACGAAAAACATTATTTTCTTTGTGGGTGTGAGCATGCTTGAAGATAAGAATCGTACTGATATTCTCATTCGACGAACACACCATCAAATGTTGATCGATCGTTATATATATTATCCTCTTCATAGTTTTTCAACTATTAGTTATAAGAGTCTGTTGTATATCTCATCATAGTAATTTTCTTTTGCAAGCATATAATATCGCAGCAAGTTTTGTCATCTATCGACGGCTTCTGCTATAAAAATATCTCGATGAACTTATTCAATATTCTTCTCAATTGTGACAAAAATACACTGTCGATTTATTTTTATTGATAGAAATATGGCGCATGGTTCAAGATTAAATTTGCAGTTAACTGATACAATCCAGGACGAAGTGCAACATTGTTTCATTCAAATTGACATGCTTTGAAAATGGAGATGATCGAATCTATGAGTTTCCTATTGTCTGCAGATAAATTACTTGAGAAAATGATGAACATTCTTACGCATGTGTTTTTCATTCGTTGATACGATAAATTCCATTACTATAGTCATTTGTCCACAATTTTTGCGACTAAAATCTTACTCTGAACTTTTTTCAGTGCCATTATTTTCTTTTTTTCTTCCTAATAAATGGTGAGTCATTTGTGTACTTTACACATTACTACGTTCGGTTTTTTTCACACACACCTATGAATGTTAAAATAACACTTTTACTGAATGCTCGAAATGACACATAACGGGTGTGAGTGTGGTTGGCTTCTTTCTGACCTGCACCCGCATCCTAAAGAACAAATATAGGTAAACATAACGAGAATTTCTAGTTTATTTAAATAGAAAAACGTTTCTGATATTTTTTTCCCACTACAGAATATGGTTATATATTAACGACAATTACACAAGACCAACAAGCAAACAAACAAAGAATAGGTTGTAAATATTTTCGTGTATAATAAAGCTACAGAAAACGTGCTACAAGAAGAACAATAAAGAATGTTATGTAAATAATTTTTGAGTCGTTCATGGATATGTAAATCTGACTTTTATCATCGGAATTTTACATAAGCAATTGAACAAATACATCATGCTTTATCTGCTTTAATATAACCAAAATTTTGTTTTAATTGTTCAAGAAAGATAAACATTAAAATTGTCTGTGGACCTAAAGTAAAATCAATCTTATACAAAAGAATTTCAACGAAAACAAAACAATGTTTACCAAGACGCATAAAAGCTGGAATGAATCCTTTAAAAAGTCCACTTGGACCAACTTTGACAATATCTTTAAAACACTCAAGTAAAGAACTATATTTTCCTGGTGGCGCATTCATCATTCGTGTTTTCATAACATCTAATGGTATTGTTAATAAAGTTGCTCCAGCACCTATAAGAAGAAAAATAAAACAAAATAATTTATTTCGTATTTTTTAAAAAGAAAGTAACCAGCCGTGAAACTTGATGTAGAATGTGTCGCAATATTATCTTTAAAATAACCAGTGGCTAATAAAACCTGTTTAATTTGTTCATAAAAAGCAATTTGACCAACTGTAACAAATGCTCCTCGTGTAACAGCCATTGTTGCGCCTTGAATTAAATAAAAATTTTATTAGGGAAAACAAACTCTTCTTTATCTTTACCATTAAATAATTTAACGGATCCTTTTCCTCGACAGATCCGAACAATACCATCAATAGCATGTTTATAATTTCGTCGTTGTTCAATTGGTAATTTCGAATCATTTTGCATACGAACATTAACTAGATCAGCAGGTGCATCTTGAAATAAATAATATTAGTTTTCTCTTATATCAAAAAGAAAAGGTTATTGGAAGCAAACCAACAAATGCACCGACTGCCCCCGAAACAACAGCAAGAGAAATTTTTTCAAAAAAGTTCAAGTTTGAATTTAGTTGAAGTGATCGAACACCACCATAAATAGCAAAACGTGTTGTTGTATATGTTGCTTGACGAAGACATGATGCTGATAAACCATTGGAGAGTGCTAAAATTCCATCGTCACGTGTAACCTTAGCTGCCATAGCTAAAAGATAATCACAAATATATATTTAAATAGATAAAAGTCATTTGTTTTTTTCTTTACAAATAAGGTCATATTCTGCTTGCTGTTGAGTTTGTAGTTGTACTTTTAGTGTATCAAGCGGATGAGTACAGCATGCAGCAAGTACACCAGCTAGACCACCAAAATACCAACGTTCCTGACGAACAGATGCAGTGGCGTAGCCAAGGGGGTGGCCATTGGGCAATTGCCCAATAGTTAAAAAGTTATTGCCCAATAAATTTTTCAGGCAATAGCAATGGCGCAATGCAGAAAAGTAATGATATACATTTACGTTTGAAAATTCAGGTGATATTATTTTTACTCTGATTGTCATTGAAATCTATTCAAATGATCGAGAAAAATCAATTTACGATATTTTTCACCGAACCAATGATCAAGATGGCTATAACTTCATCGTATTTTAACCTGTAAAAGAACTTATATCTCTACTTAAAGTTGATAATAAAGATATCAACCCATACTTATCAATCTTTCGAGAGAAAATAGAGTTATTTAAAACGCAATGACTGATGTAGCTTAAACTGCACATTTGAACGGTACAATTGTCGACAATATTTTCACAACTTAGATAATAAAAATTTCAATTTTCAATAGATGATGTTATTGAATGTTGACTGAAAGTTCCACTTAGTAAGTAATAACAGTAATGCAATGTTAATATATAGTTCAAAGGATGCACAGACATGTAAAAATATCAGCCGTTAAAGACCCACAATGGTGAAAGAACTGGCTAGGAATGAAACACAGAGCAACAGACATCATTATGTGATGAATGATAAAATGAGACTCTTCGTTAACGAATGAAAGAAGAGAAAGAAACACTCGCGATTGTTCAACAACAAAAAAAGACAAATTGACACTCATCGTCATCCTCGATCATTAAAATGCAACTATAAGCATAACAGTCGTCGGATAATCAAAGAAAGTGTCAGCGTAGTTGTTCGATAATGAAAAATAGTAGACATTTTGTTCTGCCAATCAATATAAAAGAACAACAACGTTAAAATTGTCGTCAGAAAAATGTTGTCACTTATACATTGAATATTCATTGTGTAAAAATGGCTGGTAATAAACGAACACTCAATTCATTTGTTACTGTTACGAAAAAAACTTGCATTACTTCTCCTTCCGAACAAACTGAGGTCGACGACTCTGATCTTAATACTATTAATATCGATCAAGTCAATAATGTTAATTTGGATCAGGCAAATGAAATTAATTCAACCAACATTGATCAGAACTTGACTGTTATCGATTCTCATCCAGAAACTCATGACAACGATATTGGGTACCAATTATCGCAACATAATCCACCCAATGACGAAAT